TTATAGTGTGGTTCTCAGCATAAACAGGAATTTATGGCAATGATGTAATAGAGGTAAGGTATTCACAAGAATTATACAAGTTACTGTGAATTACAATATTCCTCATGATGAGAGATACTGCAAATTTTGTCTGAAGAAAAATAGGAAGTTTGTAGAAGATGAATACCATGTGATGATGGTATGGAAACAATACACTCATCTAAGAAAACAACATACACATCCATTTTGTACAGATTATCCAACAAGTTACAACTGAAAAATATTATCCACTTTGTGAAATCTACTGAGATACTTGCTATATACAACATTGGACTTTATTTAGTTTAAACATTTGTAATGTATGTTGCAAATACTGGAACGGCCTATTTTATGTAATTTTCAGTAACGATGTCATAGTTTATAATTTGCCGAACATGAAAAAAACTAAAGATGTCACGGTGAATCACATGGTGCCACAACAAAATTCATAAAGCTCACAAACTGTTCAGAATAGCCAGACACATGTGTTCAGGGGAGCCGACAAAAGTAAAAAATGTATAACGAAGTCAAATACCTCTCTTCAATAAGTTTGCTGGTCTTTACTGGTTCGTTGTATGTATTAATTATTGTTTCATGTCATGAAACACAGCACAAACTAGGTGGGATATAGTGTTAACTGTTAGGTAATACCCAACACCGCTCTATACCAAATCCTAAGCGAAATAAAATATTTCCCTGTGTCCAGCATCATCAAAAGATTTAAGCCTGTTACATAATGTAAGCCTTATATGGTGGTCTATTATATGGAGGTGAGTACATTTAATCCAGTATTTTATTGCTTGTCTGGAACTATGTTATTGGGAGTATTCTTATTAAGTCTGAGAAATCCTTTGCAGAATATAAAGTCTGTATACTTTCTATTAACAAGCTTGAGATTTATGTAAAATATCATTATTGTCAAACCAGGACTGTAGTCCTTTATCCAGAATATGTCTGAACTTTACATAGTGAGTCTTACAAGAGATATGCCTGCGTCATTATCTGTGATAAGACAGGTTTCCTGATTTGTGAATAAAACATATACTGTTCCTCCATCTTGCAGAAAAGTTCCCATAGCAAGTATCCTGTTGAAGAGTTTAGTGAGCAAGGGTGTAATAGGACGCTTTTTTGATTTTACGACTTCATTCCCAATTGAATCTGCTACTTTCACTAACCTGTTAACTATAAGTTTATTATTCATTGAAGAAGTGTGTTTGGAATGCAACATGGCTACACAGCCACAATATTCTCTTATGCCATGAGTAAATAAATTTCTCGGTTTATACCTATCACTTTTCCGTTTCCTCTTGACATATAATTCAGTTGTTATGTTTTAAAACTCTACCACCTAAGGTCATACAGAACTATAATGTCTTGTGGCTGAAGCTAGAAGTAATTATTTTATGCATGGAGAGTGCACAATACTCTAATACAGCATAGAACACTAAATCCATTTACAGCAGCAATTCAATATCATACAATGACACACAAGAACATTACTTTTTGTCAATTTATGTTAGGCGACAATTTTTTTATTTCTTGGTTTGCGGATGCGCCGCTCTTTCAAAGTCCAAATGTTAAAAAAAAATAAAAATGAAAATTACCCTTTTTTTTATTACCGCCGATCTTTTCGACAAAAAGTTCAAACAAAAAAGGTTTTATTTCCTCGTCGAGAGTAAAGCAAAGGGAAGTCACTCTGATATTTCTTGCCGGGATCCTTCTCTAATACCATCAAAGATTGTCAACGCAAAGCGCAGTGGTGACCAGTTTAACTATTTCAACACTTTTGGCCGTTCAAAGCCACAAGTCACACCGCACGGTAGACCGTCCAAGTCACGTCAAAATAGTTTATAATTATATTAACCTACTTGTCATATAATTCATTTATTAAATCTATCACATTTCACAATGTCTGAAATACGCATTCCATTTGATTTTATCATTTCTTTATCTATAGATCAAAAATGAATTCACTAGACACTACTTCCCCGCAATGTTATTGAAAATAAAATTCTCGGACACACTTCAACAACAGGTCCTCATCGAACATGTCAAACAGCAAAATAAAGACGTTCACGTGCCGAAACGTCTTTATTTACAAAGTAATAAAACCATAAAAAATATATCTATAAAAGTTGCCAAACTGACATCTCAGTTATTATTTCCAACTTTTCGTGCGATAGCAAGTAATCGTCAGTCAAATGACATCTCGCCTTTCGTCGCCTCGATTTCCCAGCTCGGACACGATGTCTTAATGCCAAAATATATGCATAAGAAATCTTTGTCACAGCTCGTAACCTGGCTCTATGCATCCATAAAATTCCATATTTATAATATAGATCGCGATTTCATGCTTAAACGTTCAGAATAACATGATTTAACCCAAACCTTTCGCCAAAGTCTGAAAATTACTGTTGCTGTAATTTGATTGGCTGCCTTAGGTCACGTGCTTAAATTTGACCAATGACGAGCCTTGTTGCAGTTTTTTTTAATGTATACTGACATGGCAGCCTTCGGCGTATGTTTTATTCATACGAAGCTTTGAAAACGGAGGTATTTCCTCATGTTAGTGAGCGGACAGCCACTATCATCGGGAAATGGGTGATGACAGATATTATTTGTAATTCTTTTTAAAATAACGTTCCAACAACGTAAACAAATGAAAATAAAAAAGAAATGGGTAAGTGGATTTTATGAATTCTTATATTTGCCGAAAAAATCGTTGAATTTGAGCTTCATTGGTCCTTAATCTGGACATTATGAATGTTTTAGCTTACATTATTTTTATTTAAAACAAACTTTATTTAGTTGTTAATGAATTATTTAAATAATGTAATACACATGTAGTAGCAAAGATGTTAATTTCAGCAGATAATTTCCTTGATAAATGTTGGTTTCATCTATCACACACAGAGTCTCTCTTTTGACACCTAGTTCATAGTGAGTGTCCTTATTGAATCATATCGGAGGTATATCAGGTATGAAGTCACTAACATCCATCATAAGTATATGGTTGAGAAAACCCATTGCGGCAACAATGGAGCTAAAATTTGAATGTACAAGTTAAACTGCTTAATGACTTAATGATGACCATTTATTCCAATATGGCTGTTGTGTTGTCCATTTTGAAACTTGGATTCAAACGTCTTGAACAAATTGGGTGTCATCACTGGTAGGAACAAGCATGTGATATTTCAGCTTCATTTGTCAAGTGATTTTTGGTGAGATGTTTATGGCAGATGACTCATTCCTTTATTTGTATTTTCCAAAAAGGCCTCTGGCAGCCATATCCGATTTCCAATCAAGGTGTCTTGAACAAGCTTTGTACTGCACAAGGTGACCATCTGACCCACCAAGTTTCAGGCCTCTGACTAATAAAATAATCAAAGATGGCTACCTGGCAGCCAAAATGACATTCCAACTTTGATGCCTTGAACAAACATGAACCTCCTTATAGTAACGAACACCCTCACAAAATAACAGCTGAATCCATCAAACAATTTTGTAAAAGAAGTTGGAAATGTAAAAGTTTATGGACAATGACAATAGATGATTCGCGACGACATGAGGTATCAGCTTTCCAAGGGCAATAAAGGAGCTATGCATGCTATAATACGCCTGACGTACATGTCCAAGCACCATGTTGTTTCAAAATCTTTCAAGTAAATTCAAGCAAAATATTATATCTCCATTTACATGAGGCTGGTTGCTAAGGCTGGCCATCATGAAAAGGGGATTTAAACCCCTTGAACGAAACGGGTCATCATATTTGCTGGCAGCTGAATCAGTGGTTTCTGATGGGATGCATTTGTGGTGTCCCCCGCCGTGATATTGCTGGAATATTGCTAAAAGCGGCGTAAAACCATACTCACTCACTCACTCACTCTGATGGGATGATGTTTACAAGAAAAAGTAATACATGTTGAGAAAATTGAAGTGTATAGTAAAAAAAACAAGGGCCAAATCAAGGTCACAATTAATACTATCCTAAAAAATGGATCAATGCGGAACCAACAGACATCATAATTTATAACATTTTGAACCGAAATGGCAGAATAACAGCATAAAAGGTTTCTCAATATGGCTTCCATGGTCCTTCAGTCTTGTCTCTGTATAGAGCTGTCTAAGGCTGGCCATTTTATATTCTAGGTGGGTCTGGGATTGTTTTGAAAAAAATATATCTGTTTAATTGGTTAATTAATTGGTTTATTATATTTTCATGGGTCCAAAGAAATTGTTTGGCTCCGATACATTTTTTATATTTTGAAGCAATGACAGAAAACATTTTTTGTCTGTGAAAAAAAATGGCTCAAGGAATGGATCAATGAAGATTACATCATATTTCAAACAACTATATGTACAAAAACAATGTTTCATATCAACACATCATAGTAGGTTTGATTTGGTCAAGTGAGCTAAAAAATCTTAAAATGTAACATTGTACGATTCCGACATTATCTTAAACATGTGTTTATAAATCACTATTAAATTTTGAAGATACCAGGTGTTCAAGAATAGGTGAGAATATGCTTGTGCCACCAGTGGCACCCGTCACAACACATGCCAGTCAAATGTTCATCTAAAAAAAACACGGGAACATATGGTACAAGTCAAAACAGGGAATTGTTTCGGACATCATTTTGTCACTGATGCATCAAATTTGGAAATGTCCCCCACATGTCTACCACAAAACATTTTGAAATCTTTACCAATTTAAGGCCTCAAGTGTTGTAATCCTGATTAAAGTTGAATGACACACTTTGAAATCTTCATGGAAAGAGCATTCTCAAATGTCCTCAAAGTTATGAAATGGGGACACCAAAGGGTGTAGCTGCTAAAATATTGCCCAACATAGAGCTCATAAAGGATCTGGTGTTTTGAAAGTGTCTGAAAAACAGCCATGTTATATTATACATAATGCAGTCATAGAAGAACATTTTTCCCAAATTATGGCATCTGTGAAGTCAACAACATGTACAAACCTTGAACAAGTTTCTCCATTCATCCATATACATCTTTGTGGGCAGTAAAGGAAAATGCAATAAATAGTTAAACAATAGTTGGCAGTCAATGAACACAAAAAACAAGGACTTACACTGTAAGAGTCAGAAGAACTAGAAGGGTGATTGCATGACAAACAAAGGTGACAGTTAACCTAACACATGCCCAATGCAGGAAATCTTTTCAAACAGAGAATCCAATGCTTCTTGCTTCCCTTATAACAAAGTTATAAGCACTTCCATTCTAATAAAATCACTTAAAACACATCTGCGACATCATTTTATTGTTTGAACGCTCCATTACTTTTCAGGAATGGAGAGTTGTTTGTCAACTATACATTATCTTGAACCAACATTTGAATTTTTGAACTTGGAATAGACAGAAATATCTTTTACATTTAGTGACAAGTAAATAATTTCAATTTCTTTCCGAAAACATGTATGTATCGCCAGCGGGGTTCGAACCCGCATCGTTTGATTTGAGAATGTGTACTTGTCAACCTCAGCTATGGTGGCACATGGAGGAATTGTGTGAAATTAACTATTAAATATTTTCATAATTTTGCATAATGCTTTATTGCTCAAAATAATATGTACATAATATTGTGTTAGAACAGGTTACCTTCAACAATGTTCATACTTACAGCAATTAGATAGACCTTTCACAAGATATACAAATCAGGTATTATATATATCCTTGTTCAGGGCTCTATATTTCCTAATATTCCCGTCAGCATGTATTGACAATATGAAAGTGATTGATAAATACTAGTTTAGGACCAAACAAAATCATGAAGAGCCGTGTACCGTGCATTGTAAATGTCAGCTCGTTACGGAGCTTGGCGCACGTGCAACAGCAGCAGAGAACACTTTCCTCGTGCATCACGCAAGGGCGACTCACGCAGCATAAATACAGATAACAAACAGTTCTGGTTTATTTTTCAAATATTTTCAACAACAGAATATTTTGTCAAAGTGTAAAAGTAGGCATGAGTTTTAAGTGGGGAATATCCTTGTAACTCTCCATTCCTTAAAAAAGATGGAGAGATTCCCCTTTACTTCTGGTTTGAGAAAATCCATGCCCAATGCAGCACTTCTTTGAAAGTTCTGTCTACCTACTCCAATAACAAAATGATTCTAGTTGAACTATGTGGCAGTGTCATATGCTATGTTTGGCATGTTATGGTGATGCAGTTGTTGATATACCTGTTTGTCAGTGCGACATACAACTTAACTGTAACCACTTTAGTTGACAGGACAGCTGAATGATGCTGAGCAAAGCACATCAGTCAATGAATCATACTAACCTTACAGTTGCCAGAGCACTGCCCCGTGCTATCTTTTGTTTACATTATATAATTGTAGCAAAGTTGAAAATAAGTGGTGGCCTTGATACTTACTTTAGTCACTCTCAAGCAGTCAAACAGTCAAGTGGTTTTACTCAAAGTGGTACATTAACCGGACCACCTGACAACCTCCAGGAAGTGAAAGTCAACAAGATGCGGACAAATGTGTTATGTCTTGCCACGAACCCTGTACAGTTAGTCAAGATAAGCTCAACAATGTTGCGCGGACAATGTTTGACTGGTGACAGCGTGACCGTGTTGTGCCACCAACACATATGTCTTGTACTTTACTGGTTGCTTCTTTTTTTTTGAATTTTCTCCATGAACTTTTGTTTCAGATCGTCTGAAGTCGACAACATCATATATTCCTCTTTAGTCGCCTTCCAATATTTAGTTCCCGGATGTTGTATTAACTGGCGTTATCCATGACTATGATACTGAGGTTGTTTAAAATGGGCAATAGCTGATGTTCCAACCAGTCCATGAACACATCTCCTATAATTTTTCTCCAGTAAAATTGTCGATAGGACTCCTTGTGATCAAAATACTTCAAACCACAGGTAGGTCGATCGGTAGTTATTCGATATTTCAAAAGCAAGTGTCTGTGAAACGTTCTATCCTAATTTATTTTTCTAGCATTTCCGACAGTACTTAAATACTGGACTTGCATGGCCCCGCATTGTGAAGACGAGATTCCCAGTATCAATGAACTTATTGACGAGACTTGTTCTCTGACTTATGTGACTATTGATCAACACAAGGATAAAGCTAGTGGCCCAAGGCGCATAGATGTGTAAGGTCGACATCACCGAAGGGTTCAAATAATTTCCACTCCACCCTGAATTTTGGAAGTATTTCGGTTTTTGCTGGCAGAGAAACTACTACTTTCATAAAAAGGTTAATTGGCATTCGGATGTTGTTCAAGTCCAGCCCTGTTTGACAATCTATCCTGTGCCATCTGTTGGATATTGACGGCCAATTATGGTATATCTTTTATTGTGCATTTACTGGACGACTTTCTGACAATCGATGCCCCTACTTATCCTGCTCAACACACTATGGACACTCTGATTCAGCTGTTCAAGAAGCTAAACATTCCCATGGCAGCACACAAAACAGTAGGCCCAGTTATGCAGCTAGAGTACCATCTCCCGGGAGATAAACTGCTCAGAATCAGTGCTATGTTAGCTACTTTCTCTAAACCGAAAGAAGTGTACCAAAAGAGAACTGCTGTTACTGTTGGCACACCTGAACTATGCGTGCCGAGTCATGGTGACAGGACTATCATATCTTACCTGATCACTCTGTGTAAGTCCGTGGAGAAACTATCCTATCGATTTACCCTGTCCAAATCTTGTCAAACTGGAATGGAGTTTCGTTCTTCCATGACAGGCTCATCAGTCATTGTGCACTTCTACGTAGTTACAGATAGTTACTGAGTTACTTCTTGTTAGTCGCTACTTGATATACCTACGTATCAACCTGTGTTAGTTGTTTCAATACTTCCACTCATCTTTATCTGAGTGTATGAATTCAACCATGCAGTAGTTCTGTATTGAATGGTTTCAGTAACAGTGTGGTACCTATACTTGTGTTGTACCTGGTAAACCCATGCTCTTTCATCCATACAATCCCTCAGGACTCGAGGCGATATCACGCTAACGTTCCATGATGTGCACAGAAGGAACTTGACTTAGGGCTGCCTACTGATAATCGTCTGGCAGTTGGATAACAGCATACACACACAATCAGTACAGTGTGGAAGCGTCCTATCAAATGAAAGACTGTATCATGCTACATGCGATGCAAGACTGTTGGTTTGTTTGTTTATGTGTTGTTTAATGCCTCACTCAGCAATATTCCTGCTATATAACGGCAATCTGTAAATAATCGAGTCTGGACCAACCAATCCAGTGATTGGCATCATGAGCATCGATCCACACAATTGGGATATGATGACATGCACCAACCAAGCCAGCGAACCTGGCCACCTGATCCCGTTTGACCGCCTCTTACGACAAGCATAGTCACCTTTTACGGCAAGCATGGGTTGCTGAAGACCTATTCTACGGGTCCAGACTGTTGGTATTGTGTGTTAAGACTGTATAATGCTTCATGCGATGCATGACACTAGTGGTGATTTCACGAGATATCACAGTCTAAGTGGTTATGTGTGTTAGACTGGCTATGCTTGACATTATGGTATTGTGTTATGGATTGTATACCATTGTGCTGGACTGGAGTAGTTTCTCTGAGACTGTACTGTGTTACATCAGAAACACAGGTGTGGTGAAACTGCATTATGCTCTTATGCATAGACGACAGAGAGAGTATCATGTGACAAGACAGCTTGGTGCTCCATGCGATGCACAACACCCCGTCGTGTCATGACTCATATTGTGTAGCAAGCGATGCCGGACACTAGGAGATGGTAACAAGACTGTTACGTTAGACTTGTGGTTCAACATTGTGCATCAGTAATGTATCATGGAGGTATCATCATAGGTGGTATTTACAGCTGACTCATGTAGTTTTATTACCAAGCCTCCCCGACTCTATTTGGTGACATTGTGTTCAAAGGTCTAATTTACATTTTATGAACTTTAACTATGTTTCTAGCACAGTTCATGCTGACATAGTATCATCTACAATATTTCTACATACATGCCTTGATCTTACATTTATAACATGGAATGGACTATAGGTCCCCCCAAGTAGTGGTAGGACACCACAGCTGGGATGGTCTGGATCAGTAGTATAGGTAATGGTGATTCTGCCGCAACCCCACTGGAGCCAGATTTATATACCTATACTGCTACTACAGATGGAATTTTTAATGCAAAAATGATGATGCCATTCAACGATCGTCATGAGATTAAACTAAATTGTAATGAAAATATTCTCTATTATTTTTACTTATGCGCATACCATTATTTTTAACAAAGTGATATTCAACATTTTTATTAAGTTCTTCGTTCATTTTACTAGGAGACCAGACTATATACTCTTCTTGGTAATTGGAAAGAAACAATTGATGACCGTATTTGGTTGGTTTGACATCATTGATATAATATATACCTTGTGGTAATTCTCTCCATTTGATAATTTTGTCCCTGAGCATAAATGCTTCAATAGCTTTTTCGAGTTCTTCCTTTGTTGGTTTGTAATTCTCCATTATTATATACTTATGTAAGCATTCGTTTAAATGTGATCCAACGATATGAAGCAATCTAATTTTAATCTCCAACAAGTTCATTGGTTTTGGCACGGAATAATTGACGCGCTTGTTGTCTCCCCAGTTCTATGAACTTTTCTCGTCTTCGCTAATACCACTGGTCTTACAATAATTGGATCGAATCTCCTGCTTCATTACGTTGTATTTGGTGAGTTCTGACAGCACTAAATGAAACTCATCCTTGGATATCTTACAATCAGCCATTGCTGTTGAAATATGGTCGTCAGTGCTGTTCAACTTTGCTTTGGGCGAGTATCCGAATATTATCATGTTTTAATGCTTTCTTTTGCAACTTACGAGAAATAAATTTTATCGCTATTCCTGCCAGTCCTGAGACTCCGGCGGCTATTTCCATGCCAAGTACGATAGGCGCAGCCATTATAGTTGATAATAAACCAACACTGGCTACACTGAGGTGTCAACTCCGTCAACAG